TGTACAGTATGAGCCAATCAGTGGCAGTAATGACAGAGCTTGTGCTGTTACGCAAAAACCACGATAGAGTGAAGCCGCGAAAGTCGAAGCGCGAAGTGGCGAGGGTTCACTGTATATCCAACCTTGTGATGGGGCTCCCCTTTCTCCCCCTTCCCCCCACTACCCCTACCCTCGTGGTATCGCTACTCCCACTACTGTTTCTGAGGGGTCTTATCTGTCCTGAAATCCGTGTGTCCAGAGCTCTTCTCTGTACCAATGTGTGTTGGCTCCTGGTAGTTGGGGGGTGGGCAGCATTCAGGAACTAGAAGAATGATGTGTGTTTCATCGCTGCTCTACTGCACCCTGGTTGACTCACCCCTTCCTGAAACAAGAGCCTCTTGGGGCAGAGTCTCCGGGTCTCCTCAGAACGTCTGTGCCTTTCTCTCTCTCTTTTAGCAGACAGATGATGCCGTGCCCACGGATGGGCAGCCCCAGACCCAGCCTTCCGAAAACACGGAAAACAAGTCCCAGCCCAAGAGGCTGCATGTCTCAAACATCCCCTTCCGGTTCCGGGATCCGGACCTTCGACAAATGTTTGGCGTAAGTACCTCCTTTGTCTTTTGCCCTGCGAGCCCCCAGAGCATGCCCTCCCTCCTGTAAGCCCTTGCTGTTGACAAGACTGAGAAGCAAGGCTTACCCTGGCAGCAGGCGCCTGTCCATAGACCCAGGCCTGAGCGTGTACGGTGGCTACACTCTCTTGGGGGCATGAGTGTCACCTCCTTCGCATGTCACCGTTCACTACGGGGTCCGCTTCTTAGTACATAGCACAAGCATCTGACCACGGGGAATTGGCTGTCAAAACAAGCCCCCTGCTTCACCGAAATCCATGGCTCTGGTGCCCCACATTCTGGGTCAAACTTAGGTTCTGGGTTGCCTTAGCCCTTCCCTTGGTTGTGACTGAAGGCGTATTCCTGCACACCCTACTCTTTCCCAGGCACTGTACATGCAAATGCTAGATGTGATTAAAGGAAGGAAGGGAGGGGATGAAGAAGAGAGGAGAGAGAAGGAGGGAGGGATGAAGAGAAAGGAGAAATGAACTCAAAAGAGAGCAGGAGAGGGAGGAGAAAGAGAGAGTGAGCGATTTCTCAGTCTGACTTGAGTTCTGCAGCCTGTCTTCAGCAATCATGGAGTAGAGTTGAGATATGCTAATGGGAGTCTAGATGCTGTGGGTGATAGCCTTTCCCAGGCACACCAGGAAACACAAAGCAGGTGAGGAACCCCCTCACCCGCCACCCCAGGGAAAATAAGAGATGGAGCCATGCCCGCGACTTTTCCGCTCAGTCCCATCTGCTTGACACCGATTGTGAGGGCAGGGTTTGCCGGTCCTTTGGGTTGACTTCCAACCCAAGACAGAGCCAAACCAGGGCCTGGGCAGTATTCCTTTGGAAACCAAGTGATTGCTAGGGGCCCTCAGGTCAATTCCTAACTCTCAAATGACCCTGTGTTATAAGAAGCCCAGGGATCCTTCCAGATCCC